CCAGAAGGGGAGAGGTCAGAGGTGAGATCAGAGCGCTGACAGGTGGCTGTATCACACAGAACCGCGTGGGCCATCATACGGGACCACTGGAGAGCCTGGGTGCTGGACAAGCAGCCCACTTTGCAATAGCTGCCCTGGTTGGTAGTGGACCACACAGTGACAGCAGGGGCTGTGCAGATGACCCTGGACGTGGGCAGGGGGGCTAAGCATGTCACATACTGCAGACACTGATCTGGAAGTGAACCCACCTGGACCTGGCTGTCACTCATCAACAATGTCTGCGCACCTGTCATGTACACAGCACTGCACTGGCTGCTGGAGCTTTGAATAAGCGTGCCGTCGGCCTACCTAAAGCACCTGCACGTGAGGAGAGGAAGCTCCCTCATGCCCAGAGTTTAAAGGGAGGAGAGGTGTGTGAAGAAGGAAACCACTGCCCCCAGATAAGCCGGGGAACGCATTCTCACGGCCTCCCTCCAGAGGAACGTGGAGCCGGCAGCCAGCTTCGCTTCACGGTTCCGTGCGAACCTCAGGACACCCAGCCACTGATGCTCTGCAGACCACAGACACGGCGGTCAGCCAGGGTGATGCTGTCCCTGAAGGAATTTTAATTTTTTTAAAGGAATTCATTCAGTTATTTGAGAGACACACTGACAGAAATTGCACATCTTGCAAATGGCTGAGGCTGGGCCAAGGGGAAGTTGGGAGCCTGGAACTCACTCCAGGCCTCCCACACAGACAGCAGGGTCCCAAGTACTTCCACCTCCTCCCTCCCAGATTCCCACTGATGGGCAGCTGGGGCTGAGTACCAAACCCAGGTCCTCTGGAATGGGTGCAGGCATCGCAGTCACAGGCCAGATATCCCCCGTGGCCCCGCCAAAGGTCAGTGCACGGAGACGTTCTGGTTGTCGTGACCGGACCACGGGTAGAGGAGCTACAGGTGCCCAGCGGGAAGCGGCCAGGGACGCTGTGCTACAACGCACGGCAAAGCCCAGGATACTGTGCTGCTGCACACAGCGCAGCCCGGCCACCAACGCCAGCCACACCCAGGCTGAGACCCGGGCGCCGCCCCAGCCGGCTCCTGGGCGCATCACCCCTCTTGCATGCACTCGGACCTGCAGATCCTCCCAGGGATCCACAAAAACCCACAGTGGCCGTGAGGGCAACCCCCGTCAGGAAAGGCCCCTCACGACTCTCCCAGGATCCCGGGGGCAGGGTTGGGCATGATTACAAGAGAAGCACAAACCCCTACCATTCCCAGCAACTCGACACTTCAATGCAGAGAGCTGATTTTTCAATTAAAGGGGATGACGATGGCCACTTCTGCTTCCCCGAGTGCCACTTCAGTTCCTGACGCGGCCACCCCAGTCCTGCGCTCAGCTGACCCTCAGGCAGAAGCCCGACCTCCCTGCTGAAGAGCTGCACCCTGGTCAGGCGACCCTTGATCCCAGGACGCAGGGAGCCTGCACACGACCCCACTCGTGAGTCGGCGTCCCGAGCTGCACCGAGACGGCCACAGTGGGCACCTCTGGAATCGGGAGTGATGCCTAGGCTTGCCCCAAGGAATCCTGACCCTCAGTCATGAAACAAAACCTCTGCACCGAAGAATGTCTGAGGTGCAGGTGTGATGTTAGGTGGGATTTTCCTTTGTGCAGAGCCACATGCCAAGGTGTGGGCAGCGGGCAGAGAGAGATGGACAGGAGTCTCAGCCCTGGAACCAACGCACTGACACGTACTGTGAAATGCACCTGCTTCCCAAGCGGCAGGCACTGCATCTACAGAAAACTCCTGATCCTAAAGCAAGCGTCGTCTTTGGCTTCAGCTCACGCAGGTGCAGGCAAATCCCAGGCTGCTCCTCCTGCCTGTGCAAGGTGTCATCTGAGGTCGTGAGCCTGCAGGGGACGCTACACCAAGCTTCCATGGAGGTTACCAGGCCCACAAAACTTCCCAGGAAGTCCTGGCTATGCGTGAGGGAATGAGTGTGTGAGAGAGGGAGGACATGAGCGCCGTGACAGCACGATCGCCATGCAGAGTGACGTTGGAGACGGCCTTGGGCCTCGGTCGGGAGAGCAGCGCCCCTCCTGGGCCTCCGTGCTCCGACCCTCTGTGGCCTCAGCTAGGTGTCCCCTCGATCTGACCGCTGGTGGGGCAGAGGGGCAGCCGGGGTCTCCCTGGCACAACCGTGTGGAGCCGCCCGGCTCCAGCGAGCTGCATGCCACTTCGCGGTGACCCTACAGCCTCTTACACTATTTGCTCACCGACTTTTGTAAATAACCACCTTCAGCATTAAAGGCGTTTCCATGCAACACTGCATCTGGAAACTCTCACAGGGTCCTCACCACGGCCACGGCAGCCCTGGCCTCTCTCCCATGTGCCCACCACTCCCCAGGCTCTGCACTTTGTCCAGAGCCGGCACGCGTGCGGCACCTCCACGGCCCCTTGCCTGGATCGTCACAGTTCACGGTCAGATGTCAGGGACAATGGGAAGGAGAAAGGCACACAAAACCAACGTGGCTCACAGGGAGAAGGTTCCTTCGGCAGCCCGATGTTGCGCCCACATTGGTGACTCCCCTGTCTGAACAGGGAAACCCCAGGGACAGCTGGATGCCTGGAGGCCAGGGCCTCGGGTGATCTGCTCTCTGGTCTGAATTCTGTCACCTGCACGTGTGTTTGCGCCTCTGCTGCTCCTCTTATGAGCGGCCGCCCTGCAGCCCTGAGGGAATGTGCTTCAAACCTGAGTGCAAGGACGGCCGCCCTGGCGTGGTGGGCGGGAGAGAAGGCCCTCTCGCCAGGACGTCCCTGGGCGGCACCAGGCAGCACCTGCACCATCACTCAGACGCCTGCCCTGCTGTGGTGGGCAGGGAGAGAAGGCCCTCTCGCCAGGACATCCCTGGGCGGCACCAGGCAGCACCAGCAGCGTCACTCAGACGCCTGCCCTGGCGTGGTGGGCGGGGAGAGAAGGCCCTCTCGCCAGGACATCCCTGGGTGGCACCAGGCAGCACCCGCACCGTCACTCAGTGTCACAGCTCAGGACCACGGCATTATCACCCTCCATGCCCTAAAGATCCCATCATCAGGAAACGACGCTGCTCTTCCAAGTCTCAGTGAAACCACGAGCAAGAACAGCTCCGGGAACTGGCGCAGCCCCAGGAACGGGCACAGATCTGAGAACGGGCGCAGCCCTGGGAACCGGCACAGCCCTGGGAACCGGCACAGATTCGAGAACGGGCGCAGCCCCGGGAACGGGCACAGCTCCGGGAACTGGCGCAGCCCCGGGAACGGGCCTGGCAGCTGCTGTCCTGTGCAAAGCACAATGCCGTCCACTAGAGCAGAGCCGTGCTCCCGGAGGCGGGCGGTGTTTAGAGACAGCCCCCTTCATGGCAGCACTGTGTGTGGAGCCGTGTGATCAGCCCGGGAAGGGGAGATGTGCGGCACGGGAGCCTGCAGAACCTGCCCAAGGTCACCAGATGCGGACGGAGATCAGCAGGGTGCAGGGCGGGTGCTCCCCACCAACGTGAGCCCGTCCGTGTGATGACAGCACCAGCAGCGGGAAAGTTCAGCACTCAGACGCAGGGGTGCAGGTGGTCGGCCCCACTCATCCCGGGAGCGAGCCGAGCCCGCACATCCTGGAGAGAGAAGTCAGCTGAGCAGTGGGAGACGGGGGACCTGGAACTTCACGGCTCCCTAGAGAACCTCTCTGCCTCCAGGTTCCAGGGCCAGGGCTGGGTGCGTTTCTCTCAGCCCTGGACGACGTGAAACCAGGGAGCAGAGACACGCACTGAAGACTAAACTCTGACCCCACAGCCCAGCACTGCTCCCTGCCCCCAGCAGCAGGAAGAAAACGGGGGTCCTTCTGTCCGAACATCAGCTACCCGGGCCTTACGGGAACGTGGCAATGATGCCACCGCAAGTCACCAACCCCCGAGCAAGGTGCCAGCAGGGTCGCGCTGTGTTCCAGGGAAGGGTCATGGCGCAATCCGACGGGACCTCACGCAGTCAAAGTTTTAATCTCGTAAAAGATGAAGAGCATCCCGGCGGCCGGACAGGGGTGAGGCAGACTCCTCCAACCACACCCGGAACCACGGGCTCAGGAGTGCAATGTGGGCGAGAGACCGCGGGGAGGCCCAGGCCCAGGCTCCAGGGGTAGCATCTGAACGCGAGAGGCTTGAAACCTGCTGGCCTCGATTTCACTCTACCTTGCAGGGGTGTATCAGGCCACGCCTCCAGCACGGGAGAGACTTTCTGCGTCCACAGCCCCAGGCCCAGCTGCCACTCTAACCCGGGCCCCTCCTGACCACAACAGGGACAACTGCCCGCTCCCTCCATCACCTGTAGTATTCTACTAAGTTAGGAACCTCGGGCCACATCTCGGGAGGACCTGCTTGGGCGGCTTCCCCAGCCCCCTCACCCGAGAAGGCAGGGGCTCCAGCCAGCTGTGCGCACCCACAGAGCTCTGCTAGGGGCGCTCAGCTGCGCGGGCAGGCGCTGGGGTGGGGGTGGGGGTGGGCGTTACCCTGCTGGCTTTTAAGGTCGGATTCCGCGTGCTTTCTTGTTTTAGGGGAGCCCTCAGGGGAACAGTCTCCTGTCACGAACACAGCTTTCACCGTCGCTAAGCGTTACCCACATTGGGAGGCGTTCCCGGCCCCTAACCGGCAACGCTCAAAACCCACCTCCACCCCACATCCTTCGCACGCAGGCACGCACCCAGGGAGGTTTGAGAAGCCCGATGCCGTCTCAGGGGCTTGCCATCACGCTCCTGCACTGCACTGCTGCGTCGGAGTCCGTGTGTCCACCTGCACCGCACGGCTGCCCTGCAGCCCATGCGCGCCCTCCCGGCCCTGCCCGGCCCCACCTCGGCCCAGCACCGCAAGAACCGTGAGCGGGGACGCACGCGCAGTCGGGGCACTCGACCTGGCTCCCACTGCCGGACTGACCGGCCCCTGGCGGTGGCGACCCTCTCCCAAGCCGCCCCCCGGTGCCCAGTGGCCGGCGCAGGCCCCTACCTGAGCACGAAGAAGTCCACAGTGGAGTCGCTGGCGATGGCGACGTGGGCGGCGACCACGGCTCCGGGCTTGGCCGGCCCGGAGGGAAGGCGGACGACCACGTCGGCGTCCAGGTGCAGCTCGCTGAGCGCGGCGCCCTCCCGCGCGCGGTGCAGGCCCACGGCGCCGATCCTCCGCAGGTGCGGCGGCCTCGCTGCGGCGCCGTCCTTGCCCGGGCGGATGGCGTTGGCCTTCGCGGGGTCGCCGCCGGCGCAGGCGCCGCGCTCGTCGGCCGGCTGCGCGGCGTAGTAGAGCTCCACGGCGCCGCCGGGCGCGGGCCCGAACCAGGCGGGCGGCAGCTCCAGCTGCGCCACGCACAGCCCCAGCGCGCCCGCCGGCCGGCAGCCGCCCCGCAGCTCGCGGGCGTCGCGGAAGGCCCAGAGCCGCAGGCACGGCAGCCTCTCGGCGGCCGCGGGCTCGGCCCACGCCCGGCCCGCCACGTGGAACAGGACCTGCACGCGCGGCCGGCTCGGCGACAGGCGCTACTGCAAGACACCGGGCGCGCATCTTCCATTTGGAATTCTAGTTCGTCGCTCGGCGGCTGGCACGGTTCTGCTCTACGAAGTATGGTCTCGTAGCTGGGCGTGGC